TCCGACGTATGCGACATGTTGATATTCGTATTTGCTTCATTCAGGATAGGGTCCACCAGAACGAACTTGTGATCAACGGGGTTCCAGGCTCTGAGAACATGAGTGACCTCTTAACTAAGAACTTTAACAGGCCCTGGAGCACTGTCCATTGTGTCATTTGTGGGTTGCCAATGCTAGTGGACAGGTCAAGAAACACATGAACCAAAAAACACAAGAACCTTGCTAACATCATCAAACAGGTCATTGCTAAGTGCCGAGCTGACAGACATCACATCACCATGCCAGCTCTGTAGTAGAGAGTGGAAGGGCGCTAAAATCCGGCACAGGGAATCTTGTACAGCGCTTTTTGCTGCTCGATTGTTGGAAACACTTCTTATAGGCGAGTCTCAGTCGACACATGATGACCAAAACTCCGCTGATGGAATTCGAGGAAGTGTTCACGGATGCCTTTCAGGGAGCCAACAAGAGGAGCAGCCCGGGCCCTCTCGAGGAGAGGCCAGCACAGCAGCCGAAGGGCAAAGGTCGGGGGAAGCACGACGATCGAGGCCATCAGATGAGAAGCCGCTACAGAGGCTTCCAGTCTCTGGGGGCGAGGAGTTCGACCGAGGATCAGGGGTTCGAGGGTTTCGGATCCAACATAGGCTACATGACTCAGGATTGGCAGCAGCCGTCGGCACCATGGAGATCGGGATATTCGAACCACCAGGTCCAGGAACTTCAGCAGCAGGTAGATCAGATGCCCCGACTTCTGCATCGCCACGAGCTCGAGATCATGCATCTACGTGTCGACTCAGGGTTCGTCCTTCACCAGGTGCGGGGACGAGAGGAATCATTCGGACATTGGTTGCAGCGAGCGCGGAATATGCGACAAAGAAAACGAAAGAACCAAGGATGAATCTAACCCTGAAGCAGACGATGATGTTGACTGTGTTCAGGACCTTGAAGGATCGACTTGCAAAGATGGACGAGACGCCGGACTTATTGGCCCATGTTCGGAAACAACCAATGGCTTCATCTCAGGTGGAGTCAGGAGCGAGAGCAGCTCATTCCCGAGGAGCCACAAAGGATGTTTCCACATGCAGCCTTGAGCGGTCACCTGGACAGCATTCTGGAGATTCTCGAAGAGGACAAAGTGTTGCATCAATTCAATGCCACACGCCGCTTCAACGATCAGACGGACAGCACAGTCATGTTTTTCATTCGAGTGTCACTTCAGGGGCAGAAAGCTCAGCTGTTGTTCCAGCGTCTCCTGGCCCTATGCGGTCTGGGATGCCTTCAGATGATCGATGCAACGTTGCGCAGGGAAAGGTTGGAACCCCAGCCGTTGGCAAAGCAGATTCGCAACCTGAGCGATCGTCGCAATCGCTACTGACATC